AAAACCAATTCCGATAGAAGAAAAATTTCAAAAAGCCCAAAACACGGTTTTTCGAGCCATAAAGTGCTCTTATTTTGTCTTAAAAGTGTCCCGTGGAATGGTAACGAATTAGCGGGTGATAACGTAAGAAAACTGTGAAAACTCTCGGTTGACACTTGCAAATCTCTCACATTTCTTGTAATTTTGTATCAATCAGCGTTGAAATACCCTTGAAATTATGACCGATAGCGATATATACCTACCTTCGGCAAGCTCTACCGAGAGTTGTGATACATCGTACTCAAGTAGCAAAGAAGACGGTTCAGCCCTACGAAGAAGAACCGCGTGCATCAAACGAAGATTTCGACGAAGACTGACTGACTCGATTAAGCCATTCGTATACCAAATTCGTATTTTACATTTTCTTTCCACAGTACTTGCTTTTGATTGGTCATTTAGAAACTTTTTTATGGAAAGACCGATAAAAATAGTTTAAAAGCAAACGGACTTCTTGTTATCTTGTTCCAAATCTGTATTAAAGGAAATCTGTTGTTTAGGAATCCGGCACAAGTGGAACTTGAACCCTTCCACTCCCAAGATCTCATTAGTAATTCTCGTTGCTAATTGACATATAGTTCTCATGATGAGAGTTTGGAGAATTTGGTATTGGATCAACTGATAAACCCCTTATTGGTATTTTCCGTTATTCTCATCACCTGTCTGCTTGATATTGTAATTTATAGTGTAAGGAGAAATTCTGTCTTGGTCACACGTGGGAGTGAAAGGGTGAAAAGCGAGACTTTACTGGCTACAACGATTTCTTTTGATTTTGACAAATCAACAGCTTCTTGTTTACTGCAGCAGCCGCGATGTTCATTTTGAGTTGCCAAGGTCTTTTTTATGTCTTTTTTATTTTACAAAATAAAAAAGCTGTTGGAAATGAAGCGTATGAGAAACCACCATTCAGAAATCAAGTTTCAAATATGTTTATTGTTCAACTGAACAATTTTCCTTAGAACTTGTTCATAGTAACTTAACTATAGATATATTTCAATTTAAATTCACAACTATAAATTTACTATTTTACACCTTGAAATTGAATTTCAACTAATCCCATAGTTATCGTTTGACATTTGAGAGAACCCTGTAAGACAGCCAGTTTATGCACAGCGCTAACATAGATTGTTAAATGATCTTTGCTAAGAGTAGCCTGCAGCTCAGGGTTTTTCCTTTCTTCCTATTTTGTGTTCGAGCAAAGGAGAGCGCAAGAAAAACACGAGGAAAGCGCGAATGCTGTTTCTTTGATTTTCTTCTTCGCTCTTCGAGCCTATAACTCGCGCTTCGCGCTGGCCTCCTTGCGTCGCAAGCTACGTCAATGAACGAATAACCAAAGATAAAACAAATGCAGTTCGGGTCTTGTTACAAGGTAATCCTCAAGTAATTTTTTAATTGGAGGTATCCAGTCCCTCAAAAATGAGGAAGGTGAACCTTGCGCGTTACTTGTGTTTCCGCGAAAAATGACCATAGACGGCCTAATAGTTCAGCGCGGAAGGAAATTCAGGGTGTTTTGTTTACATGTGTATGCGTGCGTTTTTCAGGCGTGCGCAGGTAGGCGCGTGGCGAGTGCGAGGAAAGCGCGAGAGTTGAAATGCGCAAATGGAGGAGCACAAAAACCACAACTGTTAAGTTTTGCACGCTCCTTTTCTCGTGCATGACTCGCCCTTCACGCTCTCTTTATGTCTCGCACTTGCCTTGGTGGGCCTGAAAAACGCCAGAAAATGACGCCTGTCTCACAACCTGATCAAGGACCCTAGTGGCATTTACGGATTCGAAGTGATCCAGATAACTTCAGCGGAATAAGCTTATGAGTAAGGTCATGTTGTAAGATGCAGTCTCCACAGTAAACTCTCTCTGGTCCGTTCTTGACATTTCAAAACATTTCTATAGAGTTATCTCTAGTTTCTTTACGAAATAGGATTCGCTTTGAGGCATATTATCTCGCCACTGTTGTCTAGCCCTGCCGTGATTCCTTTTCCACTTCTAAGCAACACATTTTATGAGTTACCAAGCAGACCAGTTCCTGGAAATGACACACAAACGGTTATGAATTGCACAAAGTCACAAAAATGTGCGAAAATTTGTAGTCTTAATCCATAATTTAAAAACTGACAGCCAATCAGAGCAGAAGTAATCATATCAAGTAGCCAATAGGAACTCGAAGTAGCTCCAAGCGCGGGAAAACACATGTGATTAGGTCACAATTTGTTGAAGTTGGGATCCAATTGGTTGATATAACACGAGTTTTCTGGACCAATCAGAGAGCCCATTACTTTCGACTCTACTAAAAATTTCTCCATGTAACGACAGATCTACAGGTAACTTTACATGTCACAAAAGACTTACCTTTGAAACCTTCCTCAGGGGCATTGTTCACTGAAAAACAAAAGAATTCATCACGAAAAAATGATTGAAAGTATTACAGTATTGTAAGCTGTCTATAAATGAGAAGATTTCATCATCTGTGTACCTGGGAGAGCCTCTTGTGATATGGCACCTTGAGGTTCATCAATCTGTTAGAAGAGTTTGAATGAACAGTTTATTACCTAAAAGTCTTTAGGACACCTGTTCATTGCCTTTAGACCGATACTTTCTCGTTACCCGAGAGATTGAAATTTATTAACGATTGAAGAATTTAACTGGCAATCTTCTATGATATTAAGAATAAAATGATGCTAAGATTATCTGAAGGAGGATAATCTATGTAACTGTCACAGGATATTCTCGTGTTATACACAGACCTTAAGCAGTAATAAGGAACCTGGTCTAATTCCTAATGAACGAAGCGTGGCTGCATTGTCAGTGAGAGGGATGCCATTTAAGGTGAGGTGTTGGTCCATCGGCATCACCGAGAAACTCTTCATCAACTGTAAAAACCAAAAACATGTTTTAAGTTT